TTCATTAGACTTGGTATTTTTCCATGGGGTGCACCGATGTTTGTTGTGAAAAAGAAGGATGGGTCCTTTAGAATGTGCATTGATTATCTCCAACTCAATAAAGTCACAGTTAAGAACAATTATCATCTCCCTTATATTAGAAATTTTTTTGATCAACTCCAAGGGGAAAGCTACTTTTCTAAGATTGACTCGTGATCGGGGTATCACAAACATAGGGTGAGAGGTAAGGATAAACAAAAAAGGCATTGGGTATTAGATATTGCCACTATGATTAATTAGTAATGTCCTTTTGTATCACTAAATATCACATCCGGGAAGAACCCCGTAGAAGTAACATCGTGTACTTGACCTCTCGGAGGTCTTATACAAGCCCATGGCTATTATTCATCGCATTGTAATAGGTAGATTTAGTGGAAAATGTAATACTTTTTTCGCACATCATATGCTAGAACTTTACATCATGTATATATATATATCATTATACATAGTTAAAGACTCTAGTCTCATTTGATATCGTAGACAAACATCATAAGAGTACTTTAGGGACACGATCCTTATAAAATAATACACAAGTGCGATATTTAAAATTTTTACAATAAAGACATGACATTAGGAATCTTTGGATTTAGGGATTCCTTTCCTTGAGCTTGGGAATCATCTATCAATCTCTTCACCATTAAAGACATCCTCTAAACATCTATAACCTGCACTTTGTGTAAAAAGTAGAGGATAATGGAGTTAGTACAAGAATGCACTAAGAATGGTTACCATGCAAAAACATGCATTTAAAAAAGAAATTTTCTTGAAATCATACTTCATGCCTTTTTCGAGTAAATCTTCGTAAAACCTTTATACAATAGAACTTATGTCACCTACATACTTCTTATAGACATATTCAAAGGCCAAACATCGTATAAAATCACAAATAGAATTTAAGGCACATTTAAGGTCACTTTACAGTGAGCTCTTTTCTTTGTACAAAAAGTATTTTTCATTAGCAGTGAACATCTTTCTTTTAACAATAAGTATTTTTCATTAGAAGTGAACATCTTTCTTTTGACTTCTTAATATCCCTACTAACCTTCTAGTGATAGTTAGAGCAATCAATAACCTTAAGGCCAAAAAGAATCATTCATATAACTTATGTAAGCCAACACATCCCCTCATAGAAGTATAATACGTGAACCACACACTTAGTCCACGAAATAAGAACATTACAATAAACTCTTGTCATTATGCATATAAACTTATTTTTCGTTATATAAAACCTTAAGAAACGTCACGTATAATCCCAATATAAATCTACCAGAGAATTGTACATGTGAATCCCCATGGAACTTGGAGGCATCATGGAAACATCACTTTAGCACCCTTTTTGGGTCATCGGTCTATCAACCTCATGAGAATTATTGTGACATACAATCCTCAAATAGGAAGGGACACACTTTCCTTCAAGTTCACTAGGTGCTAAGCAAAATTTCCTTATTAAAAGTCTTTATTACATTACATTATGAAACGTAGTCTTTCGGAGATTCACTCCACATATTCTTAGCTCATAGGTTATGGATGATAAGTCCTTTCATCAACCTATATTATTTGAGAAAACCATTCACATGGACATAACATATGTATGCAACTATAGAGTTTAGGATACTGTTGAGAACACCTTTCAACAGACCCTATATTGACTAGATACTCATTCATTTGTGTGTGTACATACATGTAAGGAAACCTTTCACATAACACCTTTTGACCACACATTTTCATACTTCACTCCATTCATGCATAAGTGTAAAAGTGAAACTATATGAGCCATGCTTTCATATAAACACATTTAGACAATAGGTATAATAGTACTTCATCATACAACATACTTTACATTATAACATTAAAGAGATGCTCATAACATACTAATGCATTCATATCCAAGTACATAAGAGACCAAACCTAGGAACTATCATATCAAGGTACGCATGTGCACTGCATAGACAAGGTTCCATACCCTGTCCCATACTAGTACACCAATAAATTCATCATAGTTAAGGAAACACATATCATACTTTCATAGATATAAAGTTAACATGCATTATAGTTGACACTAGTGAGTATGAAAACAACCTTTCATTAGACACTGTAATCCTATACTACTTGTAAGCATGAATGTAGAGTGAGGTATGTATACATTGGTCAATATGATCATAGCAGGTCTATCAACAACACATTGAGGCAGCCACCCTCTTAGGAAAACAATTCCACAACCACGTATAGACCATACAACACATAGTATCATAGGAGCAAGCCACCTTCATATTACTATTAAGACTTCTAACTTAGCTATTCATGTATTCACATAGGGGCACATATGTAGGTAGCATCATTCCTTAATATTTCATTTATGACAGCACCTACACATAAACTTAACATAATCATTCACATGCTCATAACAATAGTAACATAACCTAGATTCAAAACTAGAGTAGAAGCCTAGGCACAAGTTACATATAAGGTGATCATCCTAACAATAAATTCATATATTCATCAATTTCACTTAAAGGCCATGGTAAAAACATATATAATTATAATAAAGTAAACACCTCCAAATGCCATAGAAGACTTCATCAACAATACTATAAAGAAGTTGAAGAGTAGAGCAATTCTTACCAATCCTTTAGCCTTTGGTCATCGTTAACAATTGATAGTTTTTAATCAATAATTCAAGTATAGGGAAGTATCTAAGGTACAAAAAATTATAAAAGAAATCATGTACAATTTGCTACAAGATCAAACTACAATCTAATACAATTCATCTTATATATATACTAGGATGTAAAGAGTTAAAGATCATTAACCAATTTCCCTATTCTTGTTGATCAATAATATAAACAATATACTTTTAGGCCAGCAGATAAAGAGATAGAACATCATATCTTAAACATGTTTCATAAACTCTAGAATATTAATCACTATATTACATTACTCTACCAAGGCTATAGGCTATAAGAACCTAAATCAATATTTACCTATTCAGTGGTTATCTATTCATATTCTATAAATTATACCTAATTATCATCACATTATACGTATAGGAAGTATCTAAGGACAATTCACCATGATCGAGTCACAGAACAACCACCCCAACGTCAAGATTACAAGTTATCACATGATAAACTAGAAGAACCTAGATAATTCATACTAAGACTGCTTTACATTGATCATACAAGATTTATACCCACAATTTAACCATGATATTACCCTAAGGCAGTAGCTACAAGAATCTTAACATAATAAAATTCCCCATTTATACATTTAACTATCAATGTTATATTAAACACACAGAGATCTAAGCAAGCCTTATTAAAATCTTCATACATTGGTTCACATAGATAATTTATCAATAGTTCACCATCAATATACATACTAGACAGTTGACATAAGAATATTAACATAATTGAAACACTAATAGATGTGCATAAGATCAAGATCATAAAGTCATACATAGGCTAAAATCGATTTGGTGAAACAGCATGGGTTGATCATGCAATTTGATTGAAAATCACGTGCAAATTAGTACATATTAATCAATTCCTTCATATTATGCTTTTGAAGTAAATTTAAGAAATAACCCATGCCTAGATTGATGAAGAAGGGATTTGTCATGGAACTTTTATGAAAACATTGAGTTTAACTCTCCAAGTGAAAAGTTACTTCGATATGAAGGATCGCCATACCTTTTTTAGATGAAGAATCGACTAAAATTTGGTTATGAAATCAATGAAGAACTTCAAACCTAGCTTCAATCTTAAGCTTATTTAAAGAAGCTTTACAAATCTTGAATTTTCGTGAATGGAATCTTCCATTTTTTTTTCTTCAGGTTTCTTCCTAGGGTTTGTGAGAGAAGAGAATGATGAATTTAAAAGTTTAATTAGAAATATTTAAATATTTATAGGACTTGTGAAATCCATTTTTTTTAGGTTTTCATAGTGTAAAAGGTGAGGAAAATTATCTTACTTAATTTATTCCCACGGCAAAAACAGAACTACCACTACTAGAAATTTGGTCTACTGCCACGGTTCACCTATCGTTGCAATTGATGTTTTTACCGTAGCCATAGGTCTAAGGCTACGGTTACACCAACCGCTACAACAGATCGCGTAGCAATAGAGCTGTTGCTATGGTTCTGTGCGACAGTTCATATAACCGTAGCCATACATTGACCTATTGCCACGGTTATCATTTGAATTAATTGCCAACGGTTGTATGTATTGGTACAGTTTTTAACCGTCGTAATAGAGGTTTATGCATCAGTTCTGTTAAGGCTATGGCTACAGTTTTTTTCGATTCAACACACCATTTCACTCAATTGCGACGGTTGTTATAGGGATATTGCAACACTTTTAAACAATTGTAGAACTGTTGCTTAATGCCTATTGCAACGGTTATTACCTGCTATTTGCAACAATTCTAATGCAATATTAGTAAGCTATATATACCTGCTATATACTAAATCATCCATGAGAATAAATTTTATAACATAAAAATACACATAAATCGTTAACGAGAATAAATGTTCATTACCTTAATTAGAATTCAAGATCCGTGATTCTAATATAAATTAAAGCAAAATGTACAAATCATTTTAAAGCATTCAAAAAAGGTGAAACACATGCCATAAAATTTTCAATCTTCAAAAATATATGATTTCTAGAACATCAATAAAGTTTACATCAATATATACTTCAGCTCCTATGTGAAGTCTTCACTATTGCTTTCATTGCCTTCTTCGATTTCGTCACCTACATACAATCAGAAAAAAATATAAATAATTTAGGAAACCTCAAATCTTGGAAATAACAAGTATACATGTAGTTACAACCTGCAGGCATTAGCTTTTAGAATTGTTCAATCCTAAAACTTTGAAATCAAGTACATGCCAATCAAGTTTCCAACACTAAAAAGATAAAAGGTGGAAGAGAGAATAAATGTCCAATCTGAATCCTCCAATGAATCATCAGTGTCAAGTATCAGATGAAGAAGATGGATCAGAAGAGGAAGAAGAGGAGGAAGAGGAAGTTTTTCAAGAAAATGACATTGGAAACCTTCAAAGTCACTACCAAAACCAGCAGATGCCACAGTCAGTCTACAAAAAGCAAGAAAAATGGGCTAATTTCACAGTAAGCGAACAAGAATTGAACAAAGGGACAAGAAGAATGAAGCCAAAGAGAGCTAAAACAGATGTTATAGAAGGCCATGGAGGCCGAATTATTCGAGCCACGGGAAGGAAAGACAGACACAGTAAGGTTTCAACTGCAAAAGATCCGAAGGATCTACGAGTTAGGCTTTCACCAAACACTGCAATTCAGTTCTATGATGTGCAAGATAGACTTGGGTATGACCGTCCAAGTAAGGCTATTGATTGGCTGATTATAGAAGCTAAAGCTGCAATTGATGCTCTTGGTGAGTTCCCTAATAATTTTCACTCTACTAAACTAAATCCCAAAAAAATGCAGTATTCATTTGATCAAGAACAGAGTCCAGAATTTAGCCAAGAAAATAGAGGTGTTCCCAAATCTGAATATGGAGTTCAAGAAAAACAGCAAGAGGTGAATTATGACATCCCAAACTTGTTTTCACTCAACTAGCTGCTCTCATTCAAACTTCTACAAGCAGCAGCAGAAACAAGAGACCAGACTACATGCAGTAATTAGCTACTACGTTGGCTCGACTAAGCATAATCGTGAAGCTAGGATTCAACACTATGTATAATGCTACAAGAAACCAGCAGCAGAAACAAGAGAGCAGCTGCAGAAACAAGATACACCAGCAGCAGGAACAAGATAGCAGTTGCTGCAGAAACAAGATAGGCCAGCAGCAAAAACAAGACAGCAGCTGCATAAACAAGATAGTCCAGCAGCAGAAACAAGAGTCTAGACTACAAGCAGTAGAAACAACACTATCATGCTACAAGACACATGTTTAATTAACATAAACAAGAAACCAGATTACATGCAGTGATTAGCTATTCCATTCTAATCCTATAGAAGTAGCAACAACAAATACCAATCAAAACATAGAATTAGCGACACCAACCTTGTTTATCCCCTTGAACAGAAGTAGATTCTCTTGGTGAAGGAGTCGACAATGCTGCCAATATGTTAGGATCAATTAATCCCGCATGCTTAAGTTGTGAAATAACATCTGCAATAACTTCTTGTCGAACAATTTTCTTTTGTTCCTCCATTTGTTTCTCCATTTTCTGCATCCTCTCTTGCATTTCATGCATTCCATCAGTTGTTGCACTTAAAGTTGATTCCCAATTGCCAACTTTTTTTTTCAAAGTAGTCTTTGTAACTCCTGCGCCATATAGTCTTAGACGTCCCGGATGTTCAGGACCCATGACGCTTGAAAATGCATCTTACATACTCACCATTTATGCTTATTTATTTTTCAATTTGCTCCATTTCAGCCTACCAAAGTATATCCAACAAATACAATCTTATGAAATAAATAATTGATCTCAACAAAAAAAATTAAAATAGACAGGCACATACAATTTTACTAGTAGTATCTTCATTTGAGGCCTTGTACGATCGCCCAAGTTTTCTTGTTCTTGTAACCACAAAGATATCCTTAGATGATACTGTCTCCTTATCTTTCTCCTAGTCGAATTGAAATATATATAAAAACTAAACTCACATTGGAAGAGATCCAAAAGAAAATTTCATTAAAAAATAATATATCAGAGAACTCACCATCTTATTACGAACTAAAGCGAAACTCTTTTTGCCAGCAGTGTGTGGATTCATAAGTTTTTTTCGATTCTTTGCATTTTTTTCAGACATTTTCTGCAAAGAAATGAATCAGTAATGTTAATCGAAGGTATATTAGTGTTATATAGTGTACTAGACGAGGTAAATATTAGACTGTTTGAGCTCTCAGTTTGAGTCAAAACTTCGCAGTAATATAAGCAAGGAGTTATTGCAGGCCATTCATGTTGCCAAAAAACAAGAGAAGCCCCCAAATTGCAGCATATCATGAAGCTCATACAAGCCATAGTTATATGGAAACTTTGGAAGAGAAGGAATGCTTAAAGACATGTTAAAAAGGTCTCTTTTTAATAAAATGTACATTCACTGTCAATATAATATGAATTGTGCAAGCAGTTAAAAACTTGAAAAACAAATTCAAGTTCCACACATTTCTATTAATGACACACAAATTCCTAAGACTAACACAATTATAGCCAGTTTAAATTATAGACACTGCATCCAAATAAAACACAACGAACATGTAAAGTGAGAAGTAAATCATACAAAGTAAATCAATTTGTGCTTCGTGAATGATCAAAACAATATCGCAAAATGCACAAATCCACCCAATATCATTAACTTTAACGAATAAATAGGGCATTATGTGTCACACTTTATGATGGCAGTGACTCATAAGGGAAGATAACATTAAACCGAACAAGCAAAAGACATAGACAATATCAGAATCCGAATGTATTTCAAAGTAAAACGACAGTGATACACAAGTTTGAACATCTCTTAGTAATCAAAAACAAAATTGAAGATAACCTTTGCGACTTGTGTTGTAATTTTCTGTAGATTAGCCTATCATGTACTTTAAGGACTCAACCTTAAGGAAAAATAAGGTTTAACAGAAAAGCAATTACATTACTGATTTTTGTTTGCTTGTCATGTCTAGCTATAGTGCAGTCTCTTGTCTCTCTTTACTTTCTCTCATCTCATTGTCTGTGGTTCCTATGAATGAGTATAACAATATATTCTATCAAATTATACAGCCTTCACCCATGATTCATGTCTTCCCTTTTTAAAATGAGAGGAATATGAACTTCATATACTGATTAGCGAGATTGAGTCCAAAAACTATATAGTTTTGTCATCTTTGTCCTTGTGAAACTGATCCGCCATACTTTAACTACGTGAATTCTAGTAGAACTAACTTGCATCACCCAGTTGCACTCCAATATATTGCTATTCATTAACCTGGTTTATCGTTATATTTGTCTCATAAGCATCAAAACTGAAATACTTGATATTATGAACAAATCTGAGTTCATATTTGTCAATCCAAATGCAACTGGACGATCTGGTTGTGGAGAATCTTTCATGACAACAACTAGCTCTGAAGCTGCTAAGTTGCGCGGCAAGTCTAGCTGACATCTTATTATATACTCATATTATGTACGTTAGTCGTTATATATATACACTTACAACTGTGAGTATATACTATATAGTCTATCTGTAGTAATAAATCAACAATGTTAGCAGTCAGAAACAGAAGGTTTTGTTATTTTTTTCTCCTTTTTGCCCAAATGTTATGTACATCAGTTGTTGTAAAGAATAAGATTTTCTTTGCCATGGAAAGGTGAAAGTAGAAAAATATTAAATACAGAAAATCAAATGAAAAGCATACTC